TGTGTGTGTGTGTGTGTGTGTGTTTCCCCACCTCAGTCTGCTCGTAAAAACTCAAGTGTGAAGTGCGGAGTGTGCAATCGGCGCTCTCGGTTTGTCACATGTCATCAGGGTGTGTTTCCAGTGTCCACAGAGGCACTGGATTTTCAAACAACAGCCTCCGCCTTGTTTCCATTGTTGCCTCAAGGCTTGGGGGGTGGGCTCAAGGTGAGTACTGGGCAGGTCTGGTCTCGTATCTCTGGTACAGTGAGTACTTGCCCTCTGTATCATTACTACTCTGTGTGTGTGTGTGTGTGTGTGTGTGTGTCAGAGTGTGTGTTTGCACACGTCTCCTCCAGGATACAGACCTCTGGTATGTCCTTCTCCCTCCTGTGTCACATTACCGCTGGTTTCTGTTAAATGACATGTGAAGGACAAAGCTTTTGACCTCCTTTGCAAACCCACTGCTGTCTGTATACTGTCAATATGAGCTGCAGCTGGTAATCTGGTTTATCTCTGTATTGTAAGTAATCATCTGTGACAGTTTCCTATAAACTGCTCTGGTTAATTCATGTCTTCTTAAAGTCCCCAGACACTAGAGAAAATGAGAAAGGACAAAGTGAAGTCATACATTATGTCAGAAATAAACTATATGGATGAAAAACCACCGTAACGCCTGGTACGTTTTCTTCGCTCTGAGTTTTAATGTCCTGTTTTTTTGTCTTTGCAGGGAATACTCTGTTGAGGAGGGCCAGCGATGCCGCCCCCAAGTCCCTCTGCCGTGCCCCCACCAGACGGCGGTTGGGGATGGGCTGTGGTGTTGGCATCTTTCATCTCCATAGGCTTCTCATATGCCTTTCCCAAGGCCATCACAGTCTTCTTCAAAGACATCCAGATCATCTTCGATGCCTCCTACAGTCAGATCGCATGGATCTCCTCCATCATGCTCGCGGTCATGTATGCTGCAGGTGAGTCGGTGGTTCGTCTGACCTTTATCTCCAAAGGGCTGCGGCTATGGCTCAGGAGGAAGATCGAGTTAAATTTAGCACAGAAGTAATTAAAACCAAACTTACTAGAAAAATTGCATCATTGTGATAAGAACTACCTAAATGACAGAAATCATCTTTGATTAAAAAGTATTCGATGTGTATTATCACTTTTTAGATTGATCTATATCCCACAAACTCCTGAGGAGGCACTGTTTATGAAATGTACTTCAGCCAGCCACCAGGGGGCAATCAAGAAGCTTTGGCATCACTTTTTGGGATTCCATTATAATGTTTCCTGAGTCACTGTTACGTACAGTAACATAAGACGAGCTCAAATCACAGATGGGGCTATAAACAACAGCTAACAATGTCTATCCAGCTGGTCTGTGGGCCTGTTGGAATTTAAGTGACTAAGTTAACACATACAATGCAAAACATCTTATCACCTGTAGCAAGACTGAAGAAAATGTAGGGGATGTGTGATCACTGCAGACAACAGATACATTTTAATTTCCTCATTTTGGTTATCTCAGTTTTGAAGCAAGTGAGTTAAAGCAAACATAACTGATCACTCAGCAAATATTAACATTTATTCCCTTTTCTTCTTTATGCCATTCTTTGAACAGGAACTGACTCATTAGAATAACATTAGCTTCTTCTAAAGTGTGAGGTTTCATGTATAATTTATGATAAATGTTAAGGAATTCAAACCCAGTTCCTCTATGGTCATTCAAATCAAAATGTTAATATTTCTTTAAGGCAAATCAATCAATTCTTTTACATTTTGTCATTGCAAGGTGCGTTGTTTTCCTGAGTGAGTTTCTTTTTCTGACGAGGTGGAGTAAGTAGTAGTTTGTGTGATGACACCATGACCTACATTTTAAACCACAGCATCATAGATACAGTGACACATCCTGACCGCACAACCAGGAAACCACCATGTTATGCCAAGCTAAAGCAGCTAAAGACGGTTCATTGAACTATCAACTGTAGGAACAGAATACAGATGTTGATTGAAGGAAACAGGGTCTGACAGGGTTTGTCTAAACCAGAAATTGGTATTCTAATAGAGCTGATTACAGATTGAAAGACAAATCTTGTATCATAGGAAGTACTGTAACGATGCTTCACCTGTTCCTTATCTCTTTCTTGAGTCAGGAGCATTTGAAAGGGGCAGAATAATGTTTATCAGCAGATCTATACTCCACTATAATGCTCCAGGCACCTGCTACATTCCCCTCGTTGGCTTCGGCCCCACAATCTCCTGCTTTGGCAATGCCACTGCTGCCATCTGTCCATGCTGTAATCCTCCTGTCACTCTATCGACTGCCGTCGTCACCATCTGCACTGGTCATCAACAGGCCTGGAAAGCTCATTCAATCGCTTCTACCAAGACCAGTGAAAGAATGTGATGTATGCTTCATTCAGCTGCAGTCTTCTAATAACTATAAATAGTCAAAATGTTTATTCAAATATTGACTCATATTTTACTTTATATTTTATATAATAGGCAATATCTTTCAGAAATAAGTAGGAGTGCTGAATCAAGTGCTGGTAAATATATTACATTTCAGAGATTGGTGTCGAATTATAGGTCATAAATCCCGCCTCCTCCATGTTAGGGAATTTATTTTTCTGATAAGTTTAGTTTTAATTAGTAGTTTGATCTTATAAAAACGAGGTGAAACATCGAGACTGACTAGCGTTGAATCTGCGATTACTGAATATTATTATATTTGACAGAGCGGCCGTAGGTTCAGTTCGGAATCAGCCCTCTTACTGTCCTATCAATAAAAGCAAAATGACCACAAAAATATAATTTAAAATGTTCTTCTGTATTTGACCTGAGACCTTGCTGAGATATAAAACACTCACCATGAAGTGTGTCTGCCACATCATAGGACTTCATTGATCGGCAGCTGCTGCTCGAGCTTCAGCGTGACTGTGTCATTACCATGTGGCGACTTTGTCAATATGTGCAGTTACTAAGAGAACGGCTCTTGTTACTCATTCATTCGCATTGATCGCACTCATTAGCTATTCATTAAACACTTGCTCTCTTGTTCTGTCTCTGATGGAGCATGCGTAGGCGCAATATAAACGTAGTGATGATCCAAATAACATGTTTTACAATCAACATCTTTTTAGGGATTAAAGAGATGGAACATGTTGACCGTTGACAACAGACGGGCACAGTTTACCCCACTGTATGTTTCTATTATATATTATGAAAGCGAGGAAAGGAACTTTCTCTTCTGAATGAGGTATAAGCTCTTATGTTAAGTGGAAGCAGGTGTGGTTCAAAGTTATAAACGCTACAGTGGAGATATCTGACAAGTTTGAAAGAAACGAGTGCAGTAATTTATTATCCCTGTCTATCAATGAAAACCAAAAACCAGCCCTCATTCCCCAAGCACTGCAGCGAGCGTCGCTCCGCGTGGTGACGTGTTTAAGCTGCAGACTGTGTCCGTGTTAAATAAGTGTGACTAATCCTGAGTGTGTGTGTGTGTACAGTGTACACCTGCGTAACATTCACTGTCATTCATAAAAACAGGTAGAACGTAAATAAACCACCTGTTAGCTGGTGTATCATGAGCTAATAAATGAGCTTTTACTTCCACACTGATGACAAGCCTATAGGTCCAAATGATGTGTGAAAGTTTTGTCCGACCTAAAGAGGCTGTCTTGTTCTGGATCAGACTGAACCAGTTTGGTTCATTGAAAGATCGGAAACACTTATTTAAACAGGTCCGACTTTTGGACCAACAGCAAGGAAGTTGAGTCAGTAATAGACAATAAAAGACTAGGTTTCTCACAGGATTGTTTTGTGAAATTACCATAATGAATGGTTTATTCATTCTCTCCATTCATGTTGACGTCAGACATCAATGTCAAATATAGATAGAGGCAGCCAAGTAGGTGATGATGACAGGACGTATGTATGTCAAACAAAAGTCTTTAGTCCTCTCCCTAAATTAAAACGTGAAACCAAACTAACCAGATCAAATATAAACAGTATAACAAAGACTCTGGTGTATACACTGTGTCTGTCATACACCACAAGGCAATTTTAGGCCATTAACAGTATCTTATATCTTTTTATTCTCACCCTTCTTACGACATGACATAAATATGAAGTGAGCAGGATGGAAGGTATTTACTGCTTTTTAAAAATGTTGAGAGCTCAGAGCAGTGTTCTGCAGGAACGCCTTGCCCATGTTGACTTATAAATGCAGACATCTGGAAGCTGCCTGGAGCACGACCACAGTCTTATCTGCTGGTCGCTGAGCAGCTTCACCAGAGCTGTGGTGGTGGCGGACTCTCCCCCATTTATCTTGTCAGCAGAGGAGATATATATGGAATCCTTCCAGTCAGAAGCCTGCCTATTTAATCTGGACGCCACCATGTTACATCTTCTAGTTTGTTGCTGCCTACAGTCACACAACTCTAAACTTTACCTCACTGCCTCAGGTCAACCCAGAAATATGGATAAACTTTTATTAAATAGTTGCTCTACCCTCCATTATGTCCCGCAGAATATCTGTGTAATGGGGCTGCAGCCAGACACACCGTCCCTTCAGAAAACCGTGTCTGTCTCCTCTTGCATCATAATAGTTTTTAAAAGTAGTTTGCTTCCATTTCTTCACCCTCTTTTGAGTGTGATGGATAACCAGCATTCTCACATCATGAGCCTGCAGCTCACATTAAAGGCATGTGGAAAAAACTATTAGACACATTTCTATACGTGTCTTTCCTTTTTCTGATCTAGGTGGTTATATTTAGTTTGTGGTTTTGTCCACTGTGTAATGAAGCCGACGCTGCCACTGCCCAGCACATGATAAGCCTTTTTTCAAGGGAGGTAATGTGCAGACTCAGGGGCTCCCTCATCTCCACCAAATCGGGTCCCGCCGAGCCCCCGAGAATACTGATCACTGCCGTGGATGCAAATGAGGCAAACTTTTCCTGAAGGTCGAAAAAAAGATTCATGCAGAGCAAATTAAGTCAGATGACTCCTCGCCCGTAGTGGCTTTTTAAATTGCCCTGGGCCTGGCAGAAATACGATACATCTTCTGGCTGGTAATGAGAGCATTATTTCAAAAAAAATACATCTTTCATTACTTTTCTGTCTCCCAATTCGATTTACACCTCCTGTACTTAAAATTCAGCATAGGCAGAGGCGACAGTGTCAATTATAAGATGCAAAGATTCCTAAAAGTTTTAACCAGCTACATTCTTCAGAGGAAGTTTTGTACTGAGATGAATTAAACTGATCAAATGTCAAACCTCAAGTGGAACAATGTAAACAATAGAATATAAAGAAACATAACACAATCTAAGATAAAATGCAGAGTCCAGCATTTTACTTAATCATTCAGTGAATTGAGTCATAATTCAAATGGTCAGGACATTTGGAGAATCGCAGGTATAAAAACGGCCCAGTAATATAAAGGCTTTTCTTAAGTTACAGTTGTGATTCATATATATATTATATATATTAGAGAAAACTTTCTTTTCCATTTAGAATGAGAACATATATATTATGGCTGATTTTAACACTCTATTTTAGTTATTGCACCCACCTTGCTCATAGATTGTTTTATTAGCCATATTACCCAACAATGCTTTAAATGCATGTATGTTTTGCAATTTTTTGTGGTTATAAATAAAAATGAATGCACACGTAATGTCTATTGCAATTCATGGCATTCATTTCAACGGTTACATTTCATAGCATAGCGAAATATGTGTGTACACAACAGGAAGTGACTGTATAATTTAAACAATCAAAACTCAGTGATTATCCCAGGTATGAAAACAACCCAGTCCAGGAATACACTTGCCTGATTTCAATGGGTGTCACGCTCAGTTTAAAACACAACAAATGCCTGTAGTTACTGCTTCTACCATGCTGCAGGAGGACTCAAGCCTCCGTATGCTCATATTTTGAAGCTGTACTAATTAATAATTTAAATAGGTTACTTCTCTGCTAGTCTGTGTCTGCTGGATTTATAAAGAGGCAACATTTTGTGTGAAAGTGTTGTGTTCTCATCTTGTGGAACCATCTGCTATTTTCTGAACCAAACGTTTTTGTAGTTATAGATGAAGGTGACACGTCATGGCGTATGTTTTAGCAATTGCATTTCATAGCACAGGACGAGTATGTGTGTACACAATGGAAAGTATTTGTGCTGAACGTCTACTATGGACAGTCTGGGTAATAATGTTAATGTTGACCTTCTTTTTCACTTCTAATTAAGTTCTTTAAATGATAGAGACGGATTCAGTTTTCAGGATAGTTTACAACCTGAGTTAAATCACTAAATACTTTCACTGCTGGCTCTCAGATTGGCAGAGTCAGTTCTGACACAGCTTTACAGTTGTCTGAATACAAACCTCACATTCTTATACCATACATTTTTCAGAAAGTGCTTTGTTTGTTTTTTGGGGCTTTTGAGAAATGTATTGTGATGCAGGTTCTACACAGACTGGAGAATGTAAAAATAGTTTGACACAACATAACTGTGTACACTGTTGTGTGTTAAAGCAACATACACAATAACATTTGTATATGCAGGTCTTTCCTAATTCATGACATCACCACTTACTTGATGGAAGTGCAGTGTTTAAAAATTTAAACGGCCTGCTTGCTGATATTAATAGAAGCCAGGCTCCTGCTGGCATGCAGCACTAACTAGATTAAATCATTATGCGCTCAATTTCAGTGATCCTACACTGTAAACATGCGACATGTGGGTTGATTTTGTTTTGTTTTTTCCATTTGTTCCAGGTCCCATCAGCAGCATACTGGTCAACAAGTACGGCTGCAGGCCCATTGTCATGATGGGGGGCTGCCTCTGTTCCACCGGCATGATTTTAGCTTCCTTCTGCACGGATGTGGTGCAGCTTTACCTCTGCATAGGAGTTATCGGTGGTAAGTACATCTAATTCCACTTAAGTCAATGTGTGTGTGTGTGTGTGTGTGTGTGTGTGTGTGTGTGTTTACTCAGTCTATTTTGGTTTTTGCTGCAGGTGCAGCACATCAATATCAGTCTGTGTCCTTTTTAAACCTTAATGAATTTTCCCATCTTATAATCAATACTAGTAGAGAGAGAACCCACATCTATGTCTTATTCAGCATTAAGGCTCTATAATATGCCTTACTGTGGGCAGCTCTTTGTAGTTTTTACATTGCAAGACATTATGTAATTCTGTAATATGACAGAAGTATTGTTTAATTGAGCTTTTATTGCATTATATTTGAAAGAAGGTGTGTGTACAAAATGCCATATGATAGAACATAAATGGAAACAAAACACTGTCATTTCTTAATTATAATCAAAACTTATTGCTTACTTTTTCATATTTTCTTTACATGGCACATTTAAAAAGTAAAAGTATTTGCAAGTTGTTGCTCAAAGACAAAAAATACCTACAGTACGTCTGCTTTTTAGTGAGATTATTTGACTGTTTTAACTGCAGCATTTAGTTATTTGACAGATATTTGGACAATCTGCTATTATGAGAGGTACACAGTTTTTTATGTAGGATATTTGGAAGTAAAATAGTGTTGTTTTGCACAGGTGATTACATTAAATGTAGCATGACGGTCACAAATCTTTCCTCATAGGTCTTGGACTAGCATTCAACCTGCAGCCAGCGCTGACTATGATAGGCAAATACTTTTTAAAGAAGCGGCCCATTGCTAATGGATTGGCAATGGCAGGGAGTCCGGTGTTCCTGTGCACCTTGGCTCCTCTCAACCAGTACCTCTTCAACCAGTTCGGGTGGAGAGGCAGCTTCCTCATCCTGGGTGGCCTGCTGTTAAACTGCTGTGTGGCTGGTGCCCTCATGAGGCCTCTGGGGCCGCCACCCAACAAGATCAAGAAGGAAGAAGAGTTGCCAGCTATTGGCATTACAACAAAGGAGAAGAGCAGTGTTTGGCAAACAGTCAACAAGTACCTAGACTTGACGCTCTTCAAACATCGTGGTTTCCTCATCTACCTAGTGGGCAATGTCATCATGTTCCTGGGCTTCTTCGCACCTATTGTCTTCCTTGCAGCCTACGCCAAGGACATGGGTGTGGATGAGTACTCCGCTGCCTTCCTGCTCTCGATCCTGGCTTTTGTCGACATGTTTGCCAGGCCATCAATGGGGCTACTGGCCAATTCGCGTTGGGTTCGACCTAAGATCCAGTACTTCTTCAGCTTTGCTGTGCTGTACAATGGGGTGTGCCACATCCTCTGCCCTTTTGTTGAAAGCTACAACGGCCTGGTAGTGTACGCAGTGTTCTTCGGCTTTGCCTTTGGCATGGTCAGCTCAGTGCTGTTTGAAACACTGATGGACCTAGTCGGGGCTCCGAGGTTCTCCAGTGCTGTGGGACTCACCACCATTGTGGAGTGCTGCCCGGTCCTCCTTGGTCCACCTCTGGCAGGTATGATCTATATGTCTAAAAGCATATTTCATTCACTTACATGCATGATTTTAATTTGATGAATTTACAATTGTTCTTAGCTCTTCTGGCTATCTAATCCGACCAGTTATGTTTTGCCTATAATGTTCTATAGTGTTTCATGTGATTGTTGATCATTTATAACAAATCTTATTCAGCCATTTTGGCTCGATTTTATTGTAAAAGAGACCATGTATCCCAAGAGAAATCATTTTCAATTAAAGGTTAAGTAAAACTTAATTTAACAACATTGTTATGGCCCATTCACACCAGTAAGTTATAGCTATTCTCAGGAGCTAGTTGAGTAACCACTGGACCTGCTGAGCTAACCACTGACACCTGTCATGTGTTGTGGAAAATCTGCTGATCAATGGTCAACTCATCAATGAAGAAAGCGTTCAGGAGCCCTTTGGTGTCTTATGCTGAAATATTTATTGAAGCTTGGCCAAGGAGAAAATCAGAATTCACCCACACAACATCTGTGCATGATGCTCTCTCATATTCTGAAGTCAGCTTTCCTGCAGTCACACTTTAAACCCCAACAGATCATTTAATCTATGGGCGTGCTTTTTCCTAAACAATCAAATGTATTTTCTAGTTATGGAGACAGTAGTTCCTGCTTACGCAGTCTCATATCTGTGATGTCTAGGGAGTGAAGGCTTTGACCTTCGCCAAGCTCTCGCACTTCCCAAACACAACAGCCTGTTGCACTCTGCCCCAGAGAGGACAAGAGACAGTGTCTATAAAAATTCCATAACACCATGAACATGCAAGCACTCATTGGTCACAAAAGTCTCTTGGTTGCCCATTGGACAATATATTCACGCAGTTTATTCAAGAATCGCATCATCAAGTCATGACTCATACCTGCAAACCATGACTCTTGTGGAAATCTGTTATGGAGGGTAAATACAAGTCCAGTAGCCTACTGCCACACAGCTTCTAAGCTGTAATAGCATCTACTCTTTGGGTTGTGTAGCCATCCATTCCCTCAAAGGTCAGCATTGTTAAGAGTGCATATGGGTTTACATCCCCCGATGAGCAAATCAACTGGTTGTAGAAATTCAACTGAAATTAATAGATCTCAACACAAATATTTTGCCATTTATAAATGTGGATATAACCAGGCCATTACTTATTTAATATTAATTGGCAATAGCTGACATTTAGAAACTTTGTGACGATACAATAACATTTTAAAACTGTGTTGTCTTACAGGGAAGCTGGTAGACGTCACAAAAAGCTACAAGTACATGTATTTTTGCTGCGGAGCTGTCGTGATTTTGGCTAGTATTTGGCTCTTCATTGGAAACTTTATCAACTACAGACTCTTGGACCGTGAGCGCAAACGTGCAGAAATGTACAAGCAGACTGAAACGGAAGATCCAGACAAAGTTCAGGATCTTAAGGGGGCTGGTGGGGAAGCCCAGGCCTCTGAGGATCAGAAAGATGAGGAACCTATGCAGCGGGAAACCAACATCTAGATCCGTCTGCTCTCCCAAATACTCCCCTTCAGCTCCAGCGCAACCTCGCAACCCTTTCAACTACGATCAAACTGAGCTCCGTGTCAAGGGGCACCTCTTGGTGTTCCACTAGGCTCTATTTGAGGTCAGCATTTCTCTAAAACAACTTCCAAAGCAACAACTGTGTTGTAAGAAGCTGTGACGAGCAGCTGTTTGTCAAAGAGCTTCAGCTGTGACTTTAACAGAAATATTAACCAGGGAGAAACATGTCAGATACTGAATGCATGTGAAGAGGCTTAAAGTCAGAAAATGATTGTGGAAAACAGTATAGAAGTGACTGTATTTTCTTTTTTTTCCCTCGTCCACCTGATATCAGATTTACTGTAAATACAAGACTACAACTGAGGAACCAAAACTCCACCACTGATTACCTAGTTGCAGTTATAGACAGAATATGAGATTCACAATCAACTCTGCAGTAAACTATTATCTGCTGCAGTGTGTTAATGGAGGATTTTAAGTCAGTTGCAACAAGTTAAAATATTCCAAGCTGTAGCAACAAGCGTCATTCCGTTTTTCCTTCCGTGTCTTCCGATATGATGTGAATGCAGTATCAACGTGTTGCCAATGTTCCAACATCACCAGCAAACTGAATTCACATGTTCAGTAAAACATCACAACCCTCTGAAGTCTTGGTTAATGAAGATTTGGTGTTTAACAACACCTTTCCTTGAATGAAAGGTCACAGGGTCAAACGAAGTGGGAAGTGTTGAACAACACTGATCCCTAAATGTGTGTTAACACCACAAACAACTTGGTTTATTGGTTGCATTTCATTGTGGGTCACTTCCAGGCTCTGATTGTACTTTACAGTCAGATCAGAGGTGCTTATTCGTTATCGGATAATGAAGAGATGTGATAATTTCAGACATTAAGCCGGCAATAATGATGGATACAGTCATTTTCCAACATGCAACCTTTCAAATACCTTTTCGTTAGTCTTTCCCAAAGACTATTCAAAGAACATTGACACTTTAAATAGTTCGAATCGGGTGTTTCTAATTTAGGCAAATGTTCCTGAAATCGAATCAATATGGAATAAAAGAGTTTCCTGGTTCCTCAGCTTTGAAGGAAACAGAAACTCTACAACTTTCTGATTATCGCGATGCACTCGATCCGTGATACGTGTCAGCAAGAGCCAGAATGTAACAATCCTAATTGCATTCTTTCATATGGCAGTTGGGCGTCCTAAAATCCTCACTTCCATAAATATAGAGCAGATGTGTTCACAGCTGGTGACGCTGGTGCACGCATATTATACTGCCCACCTGAGCACTGTAATGTCGTGTTGTAAAACCTGCACCAATGTCCCACTTTAATACGTTCGATCAAGTCATAAAAGGCTCCTTGTAAGTTGTCTAAAGCTCAATATTGCACTCATATACCGTGTGCTGCACTTAAAGAAAAAAATGGCCATACGTCTCCCCAACCATCTTCATAAAACTGCTGCAGTTCAGTTCATTTGATCATGGTTGAATGTAATTTCCTCTGTGGGCCTTAATAAGGTTTTAATGACCAAAATCTTTCAACTCTCTCATTGAAATGCAGACATACAGGGAAACGTGCAGTATTTCTCATGGTCAGTCTAACAGTCCAATCTATGATGCATTGCCTTAAATGTGATGTAATGTAATTACAGTTGTACAGTGCATACGTGATAGTGTAATACAAAGCTGATACACTTTAATGTGACCGCTTATTTTGCTGTTAAGAAATCGATGTTAACCGCTCCATTAGTCCGCATTGAAATGTTAAAACGACAAGATGACGTTCTGCAAAAAAACATCTGAAGGAATACTGCTGATAATACAAATGAACGAATGCTTATTAAGTCTACATGTATATGCAATCTCACTGTACGTTCTCACCGTGTTCTGGGTGAACATATCACGTAACAATTGAACTGTCTGTTGTTGTAAGTGTCAATGTTGTTCAATGTTGCATCCATTCCATGTTTTTATTTTATTTTTTTTGTGTTGTGCTGTTGGTCGGTTTTTGTCTCCGCACCTGAAGCTCAGAGCTGACCACATGGTGTCCTGTCTCAACCAAATTTTCATAACAAATGTAGTTTTTCTAAGCAATCATGAACAAAAAAAACCCAACTGTCATTGTCTTTTTCCCTGCGTTGAATAGTTGTGTATTCAGACTCATGAAAATGAATGTCCAGCTGTGTAGCAGAGGCTCTAACAATGTACCACCTTTACCCAGGAATAGTTACAGCCAGGTCACAGAGGGAATCCTCCACGGTTTAATGTGGATGAGGTCTGAGGGTATTTGTGGGAAACTGTTGAACAGCCAAGGACTCCTACAAGTGAGAACATATTCCAATAACCCCCCTCATGTACTGTAGGTCCCTCAGAATAATTTGACATAGCCTATTTTTTTTTTACAGCTCTACATAGTTATGTGAGAGAATAAAACAAGAGAATAGGTCATACATAGATATTAGACATGTTTCAAGATTTTACCATTTCAACACAGGATACTTATGATCATTTAAATGAATTTGAAAACTTCTCACGGACCCTGGCCCCGTTTTGAGAACTACTGCCGTATGGAAATGAGCCAGTCTGCCCCAGCAACACACAGACAAACCCAGCTTGTCATTTGTTAGAGTCTTACATGTTGAGATTACCTCTTCTTAGTCACTGACTTAAGTGACTGTAACTCCAACTCCCAAAATGCACTTTGTTCACCAGCATTTCATGCCGATTGTAGTATTTTCATATGTTGCGATGTCTGTACCTTTCTTGTAGTTTTGTCTGTTGAATAAGAGCTATACCTAATGAATGTTGACCTATCCTGCTTGCACTTAGTGTAAAGAGGGACTGCTTTTATTCACTGTGCTCACTATGCATGATGAGGGACACACAATGCTGTACAATCACTCGCTACCAAATAACACTGCCCCCTGCTGGTAACAAAACCACCCAGACCAAAAGGTAAAAGCCAAGTTTCAACAGCAACAAACCAGTTTTCATATTTTACCTTATTTTTCAAACCTGTAAGATTTCAGTTTCATGGTTTATGTAAATGAATCTCTCCTTTTTTTCTTTTGGTGGTGGGACAATTCTTTCATGGTATTTATATGTGAAAATATACACATTGGGAAACAAAACCCTTGTAATGGTTTGATGAAACAAAACAAATAATTTTAACTTTTTAGATTTTTCCCTATAGTCTGTAACAATAGGTAAGAAGAGTGTTGTATTGCTTTTGTAGATGGAGCAGAATGAAAAGCAGTGTACCAGGAAGTGTGAGAAAATTTTCCCAACCTAGTGAACCTCATTCAGTCTTAATGAGGGAAGTAGTTTAATTTGAAAGGGAAATCAAACTTACGTTTGAGGCCCCTCAATTTCTGCCAATAGGGAAGCGAGTTAGGTTCCACAGCAGAACATAAATAGCAAATAACACATGGTAAAGATGTTGTGGTATATATTGTTCTGCAAAACCATGAAGCTATTTGTTGAAATTAAAGCAATACTTTTTTTTAAACCTCTTTTGGTTCAAAATGTTTATTTGAAGAACAAAAAGGAAACATAATGTAATAATGGAATCTGAATAGAGATGATTAAGAGTGGACGTGACCTGCACCGATAGCCTTATCAATTATATACTGCTT